CCCGCCTGCGCTCGGGCCTATTGTACGGAGATAGAACCACCAGAGCCACCGCGGAACAACTCCCTGTCGCATTGTAAAGAATGCCGACGCTGACAATCCGCTCCGCCCCATTGCGCTTATCCGGAATGTATGTCTTCAGAAGCCGGCTCGGAAGAAAATTAATCTCGTGGAAGAAGAACACGTCGTCCGGGTGCGCGGTAGCCAGCAGTCCCTTCAGGTCACCCATTGTAGCACTCTGTCACCCAGGTTGGCAAGTATGCATAGAAGGCCGGATGACCCCGTACTATATATGTTTCCCTCTACCGGAACGTACCCCCATGTTGCTCCTGTACGCACACTACGTACAGTGGTTGACATGCGCCACACAACCAACCTAACACTACCCCTGTGCCGCTCAAAGATAACGCACACATGTGAAACGCCCACCTGCTACGTTCAGATAGGCCATTTCGCACCCTTTGCGCCACATACGCGTCACCCATATCCGCCTAGCCAACGGCCCGTTCTCGGTCGTTCACACCACCACACATTGAATTGCGTCAAACTCGACCGCACAAACGTCAACAGTACCAGTACCCGTTATGGACCTGATATGCCAACTACTACCACCATTATCATTTTGTTCTAACACCAACATCTACACTTTGCTGAGAACATTTGTGCGCCATACTCATGCTTTAAATGGCCATAATACTGACATGGACATGAGTGCACATTTTATCATCCGTGTCCATGGCATTTCACCAACGGCAACACTCCATACCTACAAACCCAACACTTCCGAACACAATATCGTACACTTACTGCAATCCTCTACCCATCAATCCTGCCTTCTACACACCTAAAACGTATCACGTAATGTTTGCCAACGCGTTGATCAGCACTGCCGTTCCACCCAACCAACATTCATCGTCACTCACATAGTAAAAACCTGTTCACTAATTGCACCTTATTGTTACTGCACGAAGGGCACACGTGCATAACTTTCTGCATGCTCCTCAACTCCACCACCAAGTACCTCACCTTCTCCACTTTCTTGTGCAGCTGCTGGCACCCTGTAAGTTTGCATGTTCCCGCCCCCTCATAGTACCTCACATATGCGTACCCCTTCCACTCCCCATCAAGGTCAACCGCCCTGAAGATGCACAAACATCTTGCATACCAGTCCCCCTTCTTGTTGTTCAGCAGTGCCACGTCCAAATACCACCTCTCTCGAGGAGAAGCCTTCACAAATGTCCCTTTGGCCACCAGCTCTCCTCCTCTTGTGCGCGGAATGGCCACCGCCGTGTGCACCTGTCAGACCAGAGTACCCAATCCAACATCACAGAACATCATGGGTGCAGTGATAACCAACATGTCAAACCCGGATACGTTACCAACCGCTACAACATAATCACCTCACCTGCACGTTGTTGGTAGCCAGACCCAACGCCTTGAACTCATCTGACATCCCCTTCATCTCGTCTCCCAGCGCGGCGATGTACTCATTGTACACCGGAACCGTCACTCCGCCTATGCACATGGTCCGATACCTCTTTGTAAGCACGGGTTTCCTCGTCTTGATTGCCTGCACGTCACGCTCGCATTCCCACAGCAAACCGCACACTGTTTGAGGCACGATTCGTCCATGGTAAACCGCACTAAAGGACTACTCCCAATGCCCAGCATGGTACCACATGCACCCTTACGCACCTCGCGCAAAGCGGACGCGTACTGTCGCCCACCCCCCGCGTCTGCCGCCACCTCACGGTACACCTCTCGCTGCACCTCCTCCTCCACAATGCGTCGTGGTATGTCGCTCCAGTTGCTCCCTCTTACTGGACCCTTAACCGTGCCCTTGTGCGTGCGCTCCCACATTTCAGTGGAATAGTGGTGCGGCATCCCACGGTGCACAACGTTGTCCAGTAAATGCCTGATCATGTGTATCTTTGGGAGTCTCCAGTGGGACGCCTGCATTGGAAATGCTCTCGGTAGCAACTCCACCAACCTGCCAACGAGTCCACGATAACACACACCACGCGATACATCATCGTGTGTTACACCACATTGGCCGCACAAACAATTAGCATACGCTCTCATTCCCCCCTCCAAACACCCGGAATATGCATATATGTACTCACGCTATCGCATGCTGACGGGCAATCGCAATTGTTGTGTGAGTGTGCCTGTCCACCCCCAGAAAGGCCTTGTAAAACATGGCAAACAGCTTGAACGCTTTGACCTGCAAAGCACGCAACTCTCCCTCTTTTCCACCCTTAAGCGCATTCTCGTCAGCCACCAATATCGGCATTATCTGCATCATGCTCCTGTGCTCGAACGCCGCGTAGTTTGCGCCGGAACTGAAGAACGATGAGCCCCCTGGGATTCAAAGGAGAACGCTAGGCGTGATTCCCTTGAACTCCTTCTTGCGGCTGCGCACATACATGGTTCCAGGTGGTCATCTGGTGGCACACAGGCTGTGCTACTACCCAACTAACCCACCCATGGTAGAGCATGTCCCGCTGGCACACCCAACCACACCAAGCTCACCGTTCAAGCAGCCTCATCTCAACCTTTCCAAGCGGTTCGATGTAGGTGTCCATCATGTGGATCAGCACACCGGAGTCCAACACATGCAGTGTGTCTGCCAGGCATGCCAGGTACACGTTGCCCCACTCTGTGTCTGCGAAATTCCACCTGTGAAGCACACACTGCATGGTCCAACCGAAGACACAATGCTGTTAAAGAGTCCACCGTGTATTACAAGCCAGCAAACTACCCATCGGCTAACACACCTCGATCGGATGGGTTGACCATAACTTCCGCAGTTTGTCAGCCTCCCCTTTCTTCTTACACTCCAGTATCTGGCGGACAATGTCCCTCTGCTTCTCTGGGGTACGTGGATCGGCCTTCCCCACCATCATGGTCAACTCCCCCTTGTCTGCATAGCAGTTAGCGCATGGCCGATGTGACCCTTGCTGAAGAGTCGCAGATGCTCTGCTGGATTCCGGGAAGTCGGCAGGGTATCCGTACAGGCAAGGGACCGCCTTGTGCACCTTCCCGTCCGCATCTGTGCAGTAGAAGAAGCGAGCTGGAGCGCTGCACAGTGTAGTGATGCACACATGGTATGCAGTTAGTCGATGGAACATGTACATTACTCAACCCACATTGCCTACTTGCTGGGGTGCCCCCCAGCCCCTTGCAATCGTAGCGTACTCCTCCCCACCCCCCTCCCCTCCAAGTACCTTGCAGACTCTCGCATGATGGGCGCGAGGATGATCTTTAGTGCCTCCTGGAAAACGCGCGTCTTCTCCGTAGGCGATGCCCACTCAGGTGGGAATGGAAGCACCGCCGCCAATGTGTGCCCAGGCTCCACTCCACGCAATTCCTCTTGTATGTTAATAAGTGAAATGAGCACCGGCCACGCGTTCCTCCGTCCATTCCGTGATGCCTGCGTGCTATCACTGTATATCAGCACGCCTAGAATGAGTGCCTCTTCGTCATTAATCTCCTTCTGCCATGTAGAACGCACTGAATAGTGAGATGTGGTTATTCGAATGCATCTAGCATGTTCTGCTGCACACATGAAATAGGGACAGGCTGACCGATTCTCGTACCTGAGCAGAGTGCATCCAATCACCCGTCTCAAGGCCTTCAAAAACCCTCTCGTTATTCTTCTTCCGATGAATCTTCCTTGGTTTCCAAACGAACCCCTTCTTCGATGAGAACGTTCGCACCAGCTTCTTCAAAATCTGCGGGCATCGCGTTAGAATCAGGTGTGAGCGCGTGTATTCCATGGAAATGCATACAGCCGACACTACATTACGACATCGCTAGCTGCGTTGGCCTCCCATTACGAACCAGCTCTGTGTCGCGGAAGTGCAGAAGCAGCTTCATTTGCATTCCTTTGGGGCCCCGCACCACTATCTCCTCCGTTTTCCACGGGACCATGTTGGCTAGAGCTCGCGCCATGCCCCAGCGTTGCACGTCCACCCAGTTGCGCCATCGTCTGAGTGCCCGTAGGTTGAAGCGCGGGTTGCGGAAAATGTGCAGCAGACGGTTCACTTCCCTGTGCGAAAGATCGGCGTCACGGAAGAATAGGTACAACTCCGTCAGTGTATCGAAGATCTCCTTCCTTTCGCTGTCTTCAGAGGACTCGGCAGGTTCGCCGTCAGGTCGTGTATCCGCGTCTCCAACAAGGCTAACTTCGGGGATCGAAGCTGTTGGAGCAGCAGAAACAAAACTGCCATCGTTATTTTTAAGCCGGGATGACGGTGGTGTGTTAGGTCTACTCTCTCCGTCACATGCAATGGCTTCCAAATATGCCGCCCACAAAAGACTCTCTCGTTTCCTCTTCAACTCCTCGCGACAAATTGCCCCATTAGCGACATGCGACTGTAACCTGCTGTCGTCCTTAAACACCGTCTCGCACACCATGCAACTGTTCCCCGTCATCCTAGAGCCAAGAAACCCTAGCTGGGCCAGTAGTAGGACCACTGCTGAGTACCTCAGGTACACTCTAATACAACTCCGAGGACAAACTTCTCGAACACACATGTGTAGGAAACCGTAGACCGTGTGCACAAAATAGCGGATCTTGTGTTACAATTAATGAAAGTACACCCAAGTGTTAATTTGGGGTATGAAATTGTACATTTCAACTGATAACTCTTTGACACATAAAGGCGTAGAGCCATTTACATTTACACTGGAAACATGTCGGGAGCCAACCCCAAACTCCCAAAGTCTGCACTGAATTTGTGTGGAATGTATCACATTTCACTTAAACAAGCCCCGCATATTACAGCAATATACAGATATAGCAAACCATTGAACAACCACGTTCACCAGTACACGATTATCTCAACCCGGGCAACTCTGCCAGATCATCATCAAGACTTGGCGCGCGCTGGAGACACAACGACCACATGTGCCCCCTAACGCGTACGTCGTTATCGGTTTCCGCGTCATTCGGATTCCGCAATAAATCGTATTCAAATGGCGAAACCACAATGTATTCCATGCACCGGGTTTGGTAAACCACCCACACTGAGGACCACATCAACAGAAACCCTAGGCTTCTCACACGTGGATCTGCTTGGCACCTCACCATCACATCCAGTCGAGTTGTCGCATCACACCTGGACATCGCATGCGATGTTGCGCCAACGGTGTCGACCATTGGGTATATACATGACGTTCGCACCAGCTGGACATTGTAGGCAAGGGTTACGCCTGGCTCTCCCCTTCCTTCCGAATAGTGCCATTGTCGCGAGATCCCATAGTTGCTGTGCTCACCCAGTCATCCCCTCCATGCTCACGTATTAATCTCCCTTTGTCTTCCGAATGCCTATCAGTGTTCGTTCATGATGGCGAAACCTAAGCAGTTGGTCTCTAAGCGCAACCGGTTCTATGAACCGGAGACTAGCAGCAGCTCCGATGACCAAGATGCTGCCCCGCCCGTCACCAGATCCAGGTCGTCGAACAAGGCCGACAATAGGGCTCAGAAGTTCGCGAATCATGTGGTGGAAAAGGCGCGAGAGCCGGTGCCGGACGACTTGGTGGCCACTATCGCCCGGAATTATGTGAAATCATCGTACAGCAACATGAAGCTCATGAATCACCGCGGTGTCGGATGTGAAGTGGATAAGGACGACCTCATGTCCATAGAGGACGATCAGTGGATTACTGATGGTGTGATCGACTTCCACAACGTGTAAGTGTCGTTCCGACACTCACACCCCTGACGCGACATGTTGCGCGATTATTACGGATCTCGCGGACCCTGATGTGCTGATATGAACTTTTTTCGTGCACTCGGCAGGCTGCTTAGCATCAGGAAGCCAAAGCTCCGTGATGGGAAGACATGGGCCGCTATGGACTGCAAGGCTTACACACAGACGAATGACTATGGAGCGCCGGTAACACTGGGAAACGGCCGGCCACTTCTGGATCACGATTATCTGGCGATCTCCGTGCTCGAGTCGTGAGTATCGTGCATAAAGTGCTTGTGAGTGGTTTCTGTTGTGAGTCGGGGTGTACTGTCTAACAACTAATCCGTTTAACCCCCCTCATGTTGAGCGCAGTGAACACTATTCCCTCGTCATCGCTATAGGTCCATCGGTGCTCACCAAGTCATCGAAATCTACGGGCAAGGAGCGCATGACGTTGGTCTTGCTGGACAGTTCCATCAAGAATCGGAATACCCGCAAGATTTTTGCGGGAACCAAGCTGTGAGTCATGGTTTTAATGACAATGTCTCCAGTTGTCGTACATGGTCGGTATTTAAAAACGCCTCTGGCCTCTTGCGTGCAGCGTGCTGTCCGAACTCCCCAAGGCGAGTAACCCAAACGCGAACATGGAGTTTGTGGACAAGATGCTGACAGAGGCGGACTGCATCATTCTACGGGTGAGCATGCAACCGGACTCTGTGGATACCAATGTGCAGTAAGCGCCCGCAAGTATACTGATTTCTAACTCGCATATGCGGTCCCGTATTTGCAGGAGGATAAGCTGCCACAGCAGCCTAACAAGGAGGACTGTGGGATTTTTGTTTGTCAGTACCTCAAGACCCTGGTGAATACCGACTTCACCACGGTTTTGAACGGCCTCTGGTTCCAGGGTGTGACACCGCACCAATACAGGCGGGAGATGCGGCGCGACTTGTGTGCACACGCGCGTGGAGATCTTATTAAACAGCTGGAGGACCTGGGGATTGAAATCCCCCCGCAGGACGAAGGCCGGGTTACCGATGAGGGGGCAGTGGTGCAGGAGAGGAACGCTGCTATGGGAGAGGGGAGGCAAGCTCCGGTCACTCGCCCTGTGGAGGACGCACGGGTTACGGAGATGATGAGGCGACTGGCGACGTTGAATAACGATGTGAGGGACTTGGACGCCAGCTTCACCGTACTCGCCAACTTTGTAGGGCTGAGGCGGGACGAGGTGGTGACAGCTGCAACCCAACTACTGCTGCATGGGGGTCACGCGGGGACCGGCGCGAAAGCAGAGGCGGGTGGCACCAAGAATGCTCCACGCACTCCACAGCGTCCGTATGCACGTAAGAGGCGGGATGACAGCAGTCCTGAGGAGGATGGCGTGCGCAATGCCACCCGGGTTGCGCTGGCCTGCACGTTCGCTGCATGTGAGCCGACATCGACCTTGCTGCAGAACCCGCACCTTGCGCATCGAACCATACCTCACTGGATGTTCACGCGCTGGATGCACCTGCTCGGGGCGGGTGTGCCAGCTGGAGCTGACGTGTGGGGAGACACGCGAGGGAAGGAGAAGGTGAAGGCCGAAGAGGAGGAGGATCTCGTGTCAGACACAGACGACGAGGAGGATGATGACGAAGCGTGTGCCTCCAGATACACGGGTGTGAAGTTGGATAAAGCATCCGGCAAGTACGGCGTGAAGATCCTGATGAAGGAAGGTGGAAAGTGTAAGCAGCAGCGGCTGGGAGCGTACACCACGGAGGAAGAGGGGGCGTTCGCGTACGCCGCAGGTGCGTTCGTGCTGAGGCCACGTGACAAGATACCCAACACGGTCAGCCTGTCAGCCGCAGAGAAGGCGATGCTGCGTGGTTGCACCAAAGAAGATTTGCAGATCCTGGTGGAAGCACGGAAGTGGTGGAGGTGGAGGAGCTGGCGGGAGGCGCTGGATAGCGTGAGCAGCAAGTGTCAGAATATATTTGCTGTCTAGCCTGCAGTGGGGTACTCTGTAATGAGTACAACCCAATTTAGGGCATTGTACTTGTATCCCAACTCTTGCTAGTGAAACCCCTTCTCTTTCAAAAATCTCTCGATACTTTCCTAACCCTCTCGAACTCGATCACCTAGGCACCTACACTATGGCTTCTAAGCCTACCCTTGCTTAAGATTCTGAGATGGTATTAGAGCTTAACGCTCCTGGCCTGTGGGCCCACTCGATTCCGCTGCCCTATTGTGTGTCGTGCGCCCCGTGGCGCGCGACCACCTATTTTCCTTCCCGCCACGCGCTCGGGGCGCGTGGCGGTTTTCTGCCCGCCGTGCGCCCCGAGGCGCGCGGCGGGTACCTACCTCGTCGCGGCGTCTTGGGGGCCCGCGCGCTGGCCCCGACCGTCGCCTCGTCGCGGCGTTTTGGGGGCCCGCACGCAGGTCCCTCCCGTCGCCTCGTCGCGGCACTTTCGGGGCCCACGCGCCGGCCCCTCCCGTTACCTCATCGCGGCACCTTAGGGGCCTGCGCGCGGTCCCCTCTTGTTGCCCGTCGAGGCACATTCGGGGACCGGCGCGGCTCCCCAGCACGTCGCCCTTCAGGGCACAATGGGGGCCGCGCCCTTCACCTCCCCTACCTCCTACTTTCCGCTGCAGCAGCCCCAGGAGCAGCCGCCCCAGCAGCAGCCCCAGCAGCTGCACCCCCTGGAGCGGCCGCCCCACTAGCAGCAGCCCCGGGAGCAGCCGCCCCAGCAGCAGCAGCCCCGGGAGCAGCCGCCCCACCAGCAGCCCCGGGAGCAGCCGCCCCGACAGCAGCTGCCTCTGGAGCGGCCACCCCAGCAGCAGTTGCCTCTGGAGCGGCCACCCCTGCAGCAGCAGCCCCTGGAGCCGCCCCAGCAGCAACTCCCTCTGGAGCGGCCACCCCAGCAGCAGCAGCCCCTGGAGCCGCCCCAGCAGCAGCAGCCCAGGGAGCAGCCGCCCCAGCCGCAGCCCCTGGAGGAGCCACCGCAGCAGCAGCAGCCCTAGGAGCAGCAGCCCCTGGAGCAGCAGCAGCAGCGGCAGCCCTGGGAGCAGCCGCCCCAGCAGCAGCCCCTGGAGCCGCCCCAGCAGCAGCAGCCCAGGGAGCAGCCACCCCAGCCGCAGCCCCTGGAGGAGCCACCGCAGCAGCAGCAGCCCCGGGAGCAGCAGCCCCTGGAGCAGCAGCAGCAGAGGCAGCCCTGGGAGCAGCCGCCCCAGCAGCAGCCCCTGGAGCCGCCCCAGCAGCAGCAGCCCCGGGAGCAGCTGCCCCAGCAGCAGCAGCCCCGGGACCAGCCGCCCCAGCCGCAGCCACTGGAGCAGCCGCCCCAGCAGCAGCCGCCTCTGGGGCGGCCACCCACGCTGCAGCAGCCCCTGGAGCAGCAGCAGCCGCCCCAGCAGCAGCCCCTGGAGGAGCCACCCCAGCAGCAGCAGCAGCTCCAGGAGCAGCCGCCCCAGCATCAGCCCCCGGAGCCGCCCCAGCAGCAGCCCCTGGAGTAGCAGCCCCAGCAGCAGCAGCCACTGGAGCAGCCGCACCAACAGCAGCCGCCCCTGGCCCCTGCAGCAGCCGCTCATGGACCAGGTGCAGCCGTGGGGGGTGAGTGTGGGGGTGCTCGTTGTGGGGGTGTCGGTTGTGCGTGCCGTCCCCTCCTCCTCCTCCTCCTTCGTCTCCCACTGCTACAGCTCTCGCTGAGGGGGGTGGTTGTGTGGGAGTCTTGGGTTTAGGATTTAAGGGGGGTGGGTGGGAGTGGAGCTAGCGGTATAGCAGCGGGTGTGTGTCGGGGGGGGTGGGACTTTTTGCGGGAGGTTGAGTGGAGGCTGCCAGCTTGTTGTCCGCAGCACCTGTAGTCCGGGCGCTTAGTCCGGTAGCCCAGTGAGCGTGTCGTTGCGTCAGTCGCCTGTGGGTCCGTTGCCCGTCTGCCGCTACTTGAGCCGCGGGGCCTGTTACTCCTGTAGTCCAGGCGCTTAGTCCGGTAGCCACTGTGCTCGCCACTCCTGTTGCCCGTGTGTCTGCAACTTCAGCCGCCGCCTTCTATCTCCTCTCCTCTCACTCTCCCTCCTCCTCCTCACTTGCCCGTTGTGACCACCACTAGCTTTGCTGATAATTATGCACTTTAACTATTGCTTCTTGAACTTGTGCTCAGAATGCGTGGTGACATTGTAATCCACCCTGAGCTTGTACTGCTTTGCCTGCTCTGCTGATTACACCCCACTTTGGCTATGGGGGTGTGTCATAATATATTTGCTGTCTAGCCTGCAGTGGGGTACTCTGTAATGAGTACAACCCAATTTAGGGCATTGTAATTGTATCCCAACTCTTGCTAGTGAAACCCCTTCTCTTTCAAAATTATCTCGATACTTTCCTAACCCTCTCGAACTCGATCACCTAGGCACCTACACTATGGCTTCTAAGCCTACCCTTGCTTAAGATTCTGAGAGCAAGCTGAAACGTGGCAGGAAGCGTGGGGGTGCCACAGGTACATCAAAGAGGCACAAGGTGGTGGATAGCAACACCATGGCTACCAACGAACCAGAGGTCCCCGACAATGCGGAGAGTGGGGGGACGGCCCCTGTGAGCGAGCAGGGCGGGGGCGCAAAGAACAAAGAGCAGGAAGAGCGAGGGGAAGACACTGGTGCACATGAGAACACGTCAGGCCCTGCTGCATAGTGGATTTATAGACAAAGCATATGGGAGACAGGTCGTGCACGTAGTTGCTTAGTTTTGTATTGCATGTCAGAATAATATATAATTCTATATATTGTTCTATAACTGCCCGTAGTGTAGAATACTGTAGTCATATAACTTTGTGTTTGGTGGTGCACCTTTCTTGATTCTTGCCTACTTGTACTGCTCGCTCTATAGTGAACAACCTCTTTTGGCTAATCTCTCGACCCCTTCCTCTCGTAACTCTCGTTCTACCCTCAACCCAAGTCCTAAGTCAACTTAGGCTTTTAACATGTTATCAGAGCGGTTCCTATCCTAGGACCTGTTTTTTTTTTCCCATGGGCCCACCGCATATCGCTCCTGCCATGGCGCTCGTCGCGGCCCCAGTTGTGCCCGTTCAGGCGCTCGTTGCGAATGTTGAGAAGTCGAGCGTGGCGAGCTTGGCGCTGTTCGTCGCGGCCCCAGTCGTCGGCCCTGTCGCCTGCCCATCGCGCCCTACTGCAGCCTCGTCATGCCCTGTCGCGGCCCCGAGCGACTGCATCGACGGTCGCTTTGGGGGGAGGCAGCGGGTGTGGCAGCCGAGCTGCTTCAGTCGCCAAACGCGCCCCCTGCCCCGCCCTCCCGTCGAACATGCGGCTGCTACTACTGCAGCTGCCCCGCAAGCGACGGCGAGTTGTGCGACGGCGCTCGTCGCGGCACCCGTTGCATCCCCCCGCTACCCGCGATCTCGCCAACGCCGACCACGCCCGCCGCCATGGCTTCCGCTGTGGACGAAGGTGTGGCGGGGAAGGGGGGGAGGGGGAGGCGCGAGGGTGGCTGACGCCACTCTGTTCGCTGCTGCGCCACACCGCTACGCCGCCACACGCCGTCCCTTCTCTCTCCCTGCTGCGCGTGCAGCAGTGGGGGGGGAGGGTTTGGGGTGGCGGGTGTGAGCAAGAAGCTGCCACCCCTCCTCTCTCTCTCACTGCTGCACGTGCCACTATGGGGGGAAGAGTGAGGGGGCGACGGAAGTCAGCCGTCATCTGCTGCTGTCGCCCGCTGCTGCCGTGGCACCTCCAGCTGCCGCCCCTGCCGCCACCTGCCTTTGCTGCCTTTGCTTCTGCTACCTGCTGCTGGGGCCTGCAGGTGCTGCCGTCGAGCCGCTGCTGTCCTGCTGCATGTTGCAGCCACAGAGCCTGCTCCTCAGGCGACCTGCCACCCCTACACCTTCTACTGTTTCTGCCTTGGCCGAGGGGTTGGTACAGCTGGATCTGCCATCACTGCACCGGTTGCCACTGCACTTGCCTGTTGCTGTAATTTCCGCTGCGGCCTGTTTGGTGTACCCCATTCTGGGGGCGTTGATTGCACATTCTTTCCTACAGGCACTTATGGGGGTGTGTCAGAATGTTATTATCTAGCCTGTAGTGGGGTGCTCTATAGCGAGTACAACCCTATTAGGGTTTGCTATATGTATCCCAACTGCTGCTAGTGAACCTCCTTCCTTCTTCATTCTCAACTTTCTACTCCTAAACTTGACATGCTATCAGAGCAGGTCGATCCCCTTGGGTCGATCCTGCGGGTGGGCCCACCACCTCACTGCTTCCGCTGCTACTGCTACTCTGTGTGTTGCATGCCCCGTGGCGTGCAACGGATTTTTCATCCCGCCGCACGCTCCGAGCGTGCGGCGGTTTTCTGCCCGCCATGCGCCCCGAGGCGCGCGGCGGTTTTCTGCCCCGTCACTCCGCGCGTCGCTCCTGGGAGGCGCTGCGACGGGCGACGGGGACCCGCGCGTCGCCCCCCGTCGCCCGTCGCGGCCTGCGCGACCTGCATAGGGCCCGCGCGCGGCCCGTACAGCCTGCGCGCGGCCCGTACGGGCTGCGCCAGGCCCGCACGCGGCCCGTACGGGCTGCGCCAGGCCCGCGCGCGGCACGTACGGGCTGCGCCAGGCCCGCGCGCGGCCCGTACGGGCTGCGCCAGGCCAGGGCGCGCCTCAGGCCGCCCGCGCGCGGTTCGTACGGGCTGCGCTAGGCCCGTGGGCGCCCTGTTTCCTCTTCCCCTGAGCTGCCTGCTGTCCCCCGTGCTTCTGACGGCGCCCCACCCCTGCTGCTGCCCGTTCTCCTGAATTAGGGTTTGGGGTGGGGGGTATGGGGGTGCAGCTTCTGTGTGCCGTCCCCTGCTCCTCCTCCTCCTCCGTCTCCCAGTGCTGCAGCTGCCGCTGAGGGGGGTGGATCTGTTGGAGCCGTCGGAGTGGTACTAAGGGGGGGTGAAGGGGGAGTGGAGCTAGGGGTGAAGCAGGGGGTGTGTGTCAGGGGGGGTGGGACTGTTTGGGGAGGTTGAACGGAGGTTGTCGTCGTGTCGTCAGCAGCACCAGTAGTCCGGGGCGCTGCTCCGGTAGCCCAGTCGCAGCCAGCTGTGCCAGTCGCCCGTGGGTCCGTTGCTCGTCTGCCGCTAGTTTTAGCCGCGGAGCCAGTTACTCCAGTAGTCCGGAGCGCTGTTCCGGTAGCCGCTGTGCCAGTGTGACTCCTGCTGCCCGTGTGTCTGCAGCTTCAGCCGTCGCCTCCTATCTCCTCTCCTCTTGCAGTCTCGCTTCCTCCTCCTCACTTGCCCTTTGTGAATGACTCTAGCTTTGCTTGCCATTGTGAACCTGCTCTATGACTCTGTGCTCTGCTGATTACACCCCACTTTGGCTATGGGGGTGTGTCAGAATGTTATTAGCTAGCCTGTAGTGGGGTGCTCAATAGCGAGTACAACCCTGTTAGGGTTTGCTATATGTATCCCAACTGCTGCTAGTGAAACCCCTCCTTTCTTCATTCTAAACTTTCTACTCCTAAACTTAACATTGCACTTGCTAATGTACAACGCTTGCTGTAGTGTGCATCTATGCATGTGTAATAAACGTTACGATGTGTGCGTACATGGTGTGACCGACATGTGTTGTAATCCGGTTGTGTAATCGTGCACTTGGTGTGCTATATTACGAAGTGGTGTATGAAATCACTGAATACCAAGAACCGGTTTGCGAGCCTGATGGCAGCACAAACGAGGACAATGGATACGGTTATGTCAACAGGATGTGCGCAGTGTGTGGTTCTGCTGTGCACACATGCATCACTAGGTACGTTGACGTGGTGTCCATCTATTCGTCGTTTCGGATTGCGATCATCCAGATGTGTACGTGGTAGTTTTGCCTACCAAACTCATTGTGTACACGGTGCTCCGGCGTGTTAAGAATTTGGGCCCCCAACTTTGTGTAGAAATATCGTATTGAGCGTCATTGTGAAAGCAACTCATTGCATACTTCCCTTGCGAAAATGGATACCTCAATTGTTTCCGACGATACGAGGGGTGGAGGCCGGTCGCGACGTGTCTCACTCCCGCCGGCGTACCTGCGAGCGTCGTACCAGCTGACGATGCCGCGAGGTCGACTGTCGAACGGGAAACGTGGGGCGACCATTCCTAAGCGCCTGAGCTTAGCCAAGAAGGGAAAGGAGGTGGTGCAGCCGGAGCAAGGTATGCAGCCCGAGCATGTGTGGATGTGTCATGACGTTATTACTGTTTTTTGTCCGCTCTGAACAAACTCGGGCCCCAGTGACATGCCATTTGCTAACTTGGGGTGTTGTGCCTTTGTGGTGTTTCGCTCACCCACAGATGACGGGACGGGCGCCGAAAGTGCAGATTCGTCCGAGCGCAGCGAGGAGGATGACGAGGAAGGCTCAGACACATCGACCAGCGCCTCACACGAAGAATCCGCCGACCCTGCTCCGGAGGCGAAGACGAACGATGATGGGTGTGCGGGAACCGCTGCGCCCAATGCTGACATGCGCGCAAGCCAAGGCGCGCGGGACACGGATGTGCCTCGAGGTGACGGCCGAGGACATGCGGACAGACCTGTGGACCGCACATGTGGGAACACGTTGAACCCAAACGGCGATGACGTGCGCATCCCGAGCAGGGTCCTCGAGCAACTTATACAGGCTCAGGACAAGAGCGCCAAGGAGAACGCGCGGTTGGAGGCGCTATTCTTGAATGCGATGTCTCGGCCTTCCGGTGGCTCTCGTAAGCGTAAGGCGCAGAAGCAGAGAGACCCGGGACAGGGGTGTATGAACCGGAAGTGTCAGCGTGGCAAGACGTGGAGTGGAGGGTCAGACGACGAGGCCGAGGACGACGAGGACGACACGCATGGTTCTGGTGGCCATCATATGCGTACCGCAAAGTCCCCTATTCTGCAACGCGCGCTGGAGCATTTGCCGACGGACAAGGCGTGGAAGGTGAGCGGGCATGTTTCCGGAGGGGTCTATTGAACCGTCTTCGATTTGAAGTGCACTGATGTGCAATTGACGCTCATCGGATGACGCTTACTTTGTTCATCGTGTACACCATACGTGCGCAGAGGGTTTGCGAGCTCGCCAGGGTGCACATGTTTCTCAACAGGCCGGCGTCGACGATGACCTTCTACCCGAGCAGCGACGATAAGACTCATGGAGTGTGTGCGGTGCTGGACCGCCTGCCGCATAGCTTCGCTTGCTTGGCGTTGGCGGCTGACAAGTCGCGACGCGCGGACCTCAACAAGACGCTCTCTGAGTGGAAGACGCGGGCCGCCGCCCGCGTGCGAGACATTGCACTTCCCAAGCTCGGCTTGTTCCGCGACGACAGGGACGCATCCAGCCCATGGGCACCAGAGAAGGAGCGCAGTATCGAGAAGATCCGGGAGCGCATTGGGCTTGGCGCTGACCGCCCTGGTGAGTGCCATGAAGACAGCAGGTGGGGTCGCCTACGTGTTGGTATGCTGACAATGAGTGTATGGCGGCCATTGACACTGACTGTACGCATGTGGTGTGCAGAAACCCTGGTGCTCACGAGCTGGGCGACAGACCGGGACGGCATGCCGTTTGCCTCTCGGGCGTTTGCGACATGCGCGAAGGCTGCATTCAGGCCTAAGAAGGCCGGGCTGGTGATGACTCTGAAGGTGTACCACCTGGCCTGGTTGGAGCATGTGGTGAGTTTGTGCGCTCAATGTGTGCACGGTTTTTGCATTGTACTGTCGTACCTTCGAGTGACAAGCTGGGTGTTTCCGCAAGTCTTTGACTGCGTCCTCTACTGGGAGGAGAGGAAAGGCCGGCTTTCCAACTCGGCCGGGGAAACGCCCACGTTGTGGACGGCCTCAAGGTCCTGGTGAAGGAGGCCGTGGAGAGGGCGATCCGGATCCGCAACCCGGAGTATGACGCGGAGCGCGAGGCGTGGACCTGGGGCCGCCATGGACTGCGCATCTCTGCGTGCGGCCTGGAGCACATGAAGCCCACCGCCGCAGCTCAGTCCGAAGACCTCGTGAGGGATGACGACCTTTCGGCGTCAGTTGGTGCTGAGTAGGCCGACTGGCGTGGGGGCCGTCATGGATCGTGTTGCGGACCGTTGAGGGGACAGGTGGTGGAGAGGTGTCTCAGGCATCATTATCTCTTCTAGTTGTGGGTCCTGAGTAGCAGTTTAGTGTGCACGGGTTTTTGCATGTGTGTTAATGGAAGTTACGGGGGTTAGTTGTATGCATGGTTGCGTAGTATGTTTGTGTGTATGTGAGGAGGCTTTATTGGGGTATTGATGCAGATGATAGCACAACACCTACACCACTAGGATGCGGAATGCATCAGCCAGGCCGTCCACCAGGTGTGCGGGATGGCGTGGAACGCGCCGCATGTTGCGGATGATTTCATGCCTCGTTTTCGCTGCCTCGATTTGGCTCTTCTCGCGGTAGAGATCGTTCGTCGAGCAAACTCACTTCCGAAAGAGATACCGTCAGTGCTGTCGTTGAGTTGCGAGTGTTACCTCGACTACGATGCGGAAATCCTTTTGCGAAATCAAACTGATCCAGGTGCACCCAGCCTAGGATCGTTTGCTGATCGAATACTGATCGATGTAACAGGAGCGACAGATCAATCCTTCGTCAACTCAAAATGCGAAATCCTGGATCCAATTCGTGACACCGCACCATCCAACGGATTCACGAGTGTTCATCTGTCTCGCTGGGTTTGCATCTTTTCCGCTCCACATGCGGCTGTAAATGCTCACAAGTACCTCATCGCGCCAGGCGCGCCTGCTCCGATCGATGCAATAATAAGCGCGGTTCCAGGCAAAGGTGGGTCAGTGCATTGTCGTAAATCGTTATCTCCCACTGATGTGATAGATATCGATCAGGGAGCAGGCCTATTTGGCTTCCGCTTTAACTCACTCCTGCTCGTCATAGAGAATGTTGAAGCCAGTCCTCTTCATGCACAATAACGGTGTATATGATGTCACGTCGAAATACACGACGATGAACAGGAAACGTTCAATCACCTTCTGAGGCTGCGAAGCTCCCGTTCATGCCTTATGTCGAGTGCCATCTGCGGTTTCAGAGGTTCTGTCGTCTCAGCGATTTTTTTCGTTCCGTCTCCTTCTTCTTCGCTGGTCGGTAGGTTTTTTTCTCATCGTCCACGTAAGATTAAGATTTCGTGTTGATTCTTCTCATCTTCATTTGCCATCCTGTCCTCATCCCTCACTCCTCTCCGTTTCACCTCCCTTCCTCCTCCTCGATTCTTTTCCCTCCCTCCTCTCCGCTTCCCCTCCCCTCCGTTATCCAGTTGACAGCGTTGAAATGCCCGTCCATTCGTGCGCTCGGCATTGCCACGTCATTCCGCCACTAGGTCATTTCTGAAGCTGTCACACGCAACGATTGGAGGCCTGGTGGGTGCCTCCTCTTCTATAAGGATCCTCATTCTTTGCTAAAAGTTTCTCATGTGTGTGTTTGTGGAACATCTGTGGTTTACGTATCTGTTGCCCCTTCATTTCCATGCCTTGTGTCTTATGATTCAGCATCGCTTCCCCCCCTTCCCTCGTTCCCTCTCGCTTCCAGTGCACAGCAGCAGGTCGCCCAGACATGCAAGTCGTTCAGAAGACACACCACCGCTCTCAACCGTGCCAACTTTAGCATATGCACTCTGCTCTGTTGCCTCTTCGCTCTTGCGCCTTCCTTTTCCCCTGCACCCATGCCTTTCGTTTAGGATTCTCAAAGTGACTTTCTTGCTCCTTCCCTTTCCTTGATCTTGTAGTGAACCCTCCTTTCTTCCTATCACATCACCTGTGTTTTCGCTTCCTTTTAAGGCACTCCCAGCGCCTCTCTGCCGGCGTGCTCCTCCTCTCTGGGCGCAGACGGGCTAGCAGGAGCGCTGCTGTGCAGCCTGCTCTACCCGCAACCCCACGTGCTGAACCCGCTGCTGGCGTCACTGGTACCCTGGCTTCCACTCATATCGCTGCTGCTAGTGGGGGGGATGGAAGTGGGGGGGGGCGTGGGGGGGGAGGCTGGGGGTAGCAGGCAATTGGGTGGAGCAGCAGAGAAGGGGGCGGAGCGGAGGGCGTGGGAGTGGATGTCTGAGGAGGTGGTGAGGAGACCAGGGTTGACTAGCATCGTTCGGTTCAGGCCCATGACCAACCTCGGCCAGGCAAGTGCGTGCAGGAGTGCTTGACCCTTGTTTCCATGCACCCCCATACCCTCCCTCCCATCCCTCCCCTCCCTCCCCTCCCTCTTTTCTCTCATCTCCCTGCCCTTGCTGTGCCGCTCGCCCCCCAAGACTCCCTATCATTGCTCTGCTAATGTCCCTCCCTCGTGTCTGACGTGGCTGCGATTTGATTTGATTCGTGCCAGTGGGTGGGAGCATGATGACGACAGCATGGCAGCCCTGTGGGAGCGAGACACACCTGCTACTGAGATAACAACTGGCATGGTACGCAGTGGCTCACATGCTCGCACCTCTCATGCTGGCATCTTCCCGTGTTGGTGAGGTTGGAAGAGGAGAGAGGTAGGTGATGAGGGTTAGGAGGGAGAGCGGAGTGGAGTGGAGCAGAGTAGCATGTGCTTGTTGAGGTAACAACATTGTGGAGCATTGTGCTTGCTGCGGAGGAGGCAACAACATTGTGCTGTTGAGTGGAGCAGAGTAGCATGTGTCATGTCATCATCCCATATGCCATGTCATCATCCCATATGCCATGTCATCATCCCATATGCCATGTCATCATCCCATATGCCATGTCATCATCCCATATGCCATGTCATCATCCCATATGCATGTTATCATCTCATATGCATGCCATCATCCCATATGACATGTCATCATTCCATATGCCATGTCATCATCTCATATGCCATGTCATCATCCCACATGCCATGTCATCATCCCATATGCCATGCCATCATCCCATATGCCATGTCATAATCTCATTTGCCATGTCATAACTCCATACGCCATCATCCTAGTCGCCATGTCATCATCCCATCTGCTGCTGAATTGCCTCAACAGTCTGAGCAGAATGGACTTGCCTCTCAACACAGTCTAATGTACTCAAGGCCAATAGGCCAATAGGCAGTTCTGCACCGAAGTCATTTCCTCTGCCTCTTAACATTTCCTCCTGAGCTTGTGCCAGCCCTTCTGTTAGCCGGTCAGCTTTGCCTCACTCACTCCCCACTCCACCTCATCCGCCTCCCTGTCACACCCCCTTCCCTTGCCCTTGCCTTCACCTCTCCGCCCACTGCTCTGACCAGCCATTGCAAGGGTCACAGGTGCACTGGCGCAGCAGTGGTAGCGGAACGTGGAGAATGCGAGAGAGGCAGCAGAGGCAAGGCAACGAGCAGAGCGACTCCTGAAAGACATTGAAGCCCACTACACCGGCAGGAGCACCTCGCAGCAGGACCAGCAGGAGCAGCCTCTGCCTGTGAGGGAGGTGCTGTGGAAGAGAAGGCATCAGAGGGACGTTCAGGAGGAGGACTTGCAGCGAGGGAGGAGATTTCCCTGTGTTGTTGCCGCTTTTCAGGAAGCCTCCCTTGCTGGTGTGCCGGAGCGGGCAGCAACGGACCAGGCCTGTGCTGACGTGGCAGCGGTGGCGGCTTTGACTGGCCACTCTCCCGAGGCTAACGCTGCGATAGGTTCGGATGGTTGGTGGCTCGGCGGGAGACCCAGGAGGGGCGGACTGGATTCCTGCTCTGGGGGAGCCTGTGTATGTGAGGAGGTTCGGCACCAGCATGCGTGGTACGGTGGTGGCAGTGGGTGGTGGTTCGGGAGAAGGCTTGGCAGAAGCAGCCGCTGCTCGGTCTGTGACGGTTCAACTGGGGAATCTGCGATTGCAAGTGCAGAGAGCAGACATCCTTCCCGCCGCCGATGGCAGTGGTGATGGTAGGACTGATGGAGAGGCAGGAAGGAGGGGGCCCACAGGAGGGCTGTTTGGCAGCGAATGGGAGCAAGAGGATGACAGTAACAATAGCAGCAGCATGAATAGTACTAGGGGATTGAAGCGTGGTGGTCAGTTCCCCTCCCCGTCCTCCGCCTCTTCCACTCCTCTGCCAGCAGTGAGGGAGGCAGCAGTGCAGACAGCACGAAACACAGTGGATGTGAGGGGGCGGAGTGCAGAGGATGCATTAGCAGCGGTGGACCTAGCAGTGCAGTCCACCCCGGCTGGTGCTGTGCTCTTCATTGTGCATGGGCTTGGCACGGGTGTGCTTCGGGCAGCTGTGCTGAAATATCTCTTCCGGAAAGCAGGTTGAATATTGGCTGTACTATAGCATATATTGGTTGAGAAGGATTTGTGGTGCAGTTGCAGTGCTATTGGTGGAGATGTTGCTTACACATACCAGTAGTGGCCTGGCCGCTGCCAAACCCAACACCGGTAGGTTCAGCTACTTTTGTGGGGCATATCTACACCAACACATCACTCCGTTAAAGTACCTACGGAAGTGGCTTGAGAAAGTAAGGACTCGTATTTTTACCAACACATCACATCACGTCACAAAGGTATGGCACGGCAAGTAGCCGGAGTAAGCAAGATCACGTAACGAATACGGTACCGTAATTACCCAGTAAACTCAGGGTCCTTCCTTCTGGCTGGTGCCAAGATTTTGAGGGCCAGGACCGGAAGAGTTGCTGACTATTAGCTACCTACAACTGTCTTTCCTACTCACTAAACGTCCCTCCTACCTACCAGTAACCTGCTCCCGGAATCTGGAGATGTCAAATATTCTGGACCAGAAGAGTTGCTTGCTAGGGAAGGTCCCGAGCGAGCTGTAGCCGTGTTGGCAAGCACCCTCAGAGACACGCCCCATGTTTATCCATCCTTTAGCTCAGCGGTGAACTGTTGGTGCAATAAGAAGAAATATTAGTAAGAACCTAATTTGCATGCGATGCCACAGAATGAGAAAAAAAACAACTACAAAGCACGGTACCCAATAGCAATACTCAAACTCACCTTTTCCTGGTCCTTCTGGAAAGATATCGCGCTAACCCCGGTCTCAAGGCGCCTTACCCATTCAGTCTCATCGAAGTAGCTAAATACTGAAAAAAGCACATTCAAAGTTTAGTCAGCACCCTTCATTCAAAAGCGACTTTTACCCGTGGTTGAAAGGCGAAAGCACTTACTATATCCACCAATCTTCCCATTGAAAGCCATCCACTTGTTTCTTCCCGTGAATAGCTTCGCTCGTTCCGCATCCGGCATGGAATCGGACATCTCGCTTTTGACGTGAACAAACTCAAAGGACTGCAGGTTGTCCTTGGGCGTCCATACAACTCCTCCGTTGGCCGTGTTGTCGCAAACACCCCAGTGGCAATTGAAGTCACCTGAACGAATGAGAAAAACAGAGCAGCAATGGGGTTCAGCCTTTGCCTAGATGAGGGGCGGACAGGATACAGAGTGTTACTCAAGCTACTACTCACCAACTCCCTTATAATGCTCATGGTTTCCTTCCGAGACATACACAATGGGATGTGTTCCCATCACCGTAGCAAAGCTTTTTGGCTTGGGGTCGTCCCAGTCAGCACCAGTGTCCCACGCCCACACAGGTCCGTTGCCGTGCTGCGCGTACCAAATGCGCTGCGGCTCGCCGGTCTTTGAGAAGCGGATTGCAATCGCCACCAGGTCCGTGATGTGGTTGTACTCCGGAGCACCCATATCAGAATTGGCATAGTTCTGAAAAGGTGAACGATAAAGACATTAGGGTTATGACTGAAATATAACAGATTGACAACCTCTCGCAAAGTATGGGGTTGAAAATGAGTGGGGGGGGTTGGGGGTGGGGGGGAGGCCGACGTGAAGACGAAGGCCGACGGCACCATTGACAAATTCTCCCGGCACGATGGGTCGTGCGTGGCTTCGACCAAGAACACGGGCGAGACTTCACCGAAACCTTCACTCCGGTTAGCCGACACACTTCACTCCGAATTCTCCTCGCAATCGCCGCCATGAAGAAGAAGAAGCTGCGGCAAATCGACGTCGCGAACGCGTTTCTCTACGCGCCTGTTGATGCAGAAATTTTCGTCGAGCTACCGTACGGCTCCCACGGAGAACCTAACCAAGTCTGCCAGCTGCTCAAGTCACTCTACGGCATCAAGCAGGCTCCGCGACTGTGGCAACAGTACCTACACGCCCGCCTCATTCGCATCGGCTTCAAGCAGCTACCGCATCTATCGGCTCACGAAGAAACTGACTACATCCTGCTAATCGTCTACGTAGACGATTTACTCTACATCGGCTCGACCGACGACATCACCTCTTGGTTCGAAGGGGAGATGCAGCAGGACCTCACGCTCACAGTCTCATCTACCGTCACGCAGTACCTTGGCCTCAACATCCGGGAAAAGGAAGACGCGATCTACCTCAGCGCCGCGAAATACGCCGACACCATCGCCAAGCGCTTCGCACTCACACCGACCGCCATCTCTACACCGTACTGCTACACGGCAGGAAACAGCAAGGGAAGCTCCACTCTACTCAAGCCCGCCGGCATTCGACACTACCAGAGGAAGCTGGGATGCCTCCTCTTCGCAGGTGTCACCTGTCGCCCTGACCTCTCATACTCCGCAAGTCAACTCGCCACCTACCTCAAGAAACCTGAAGCGGAGCATCTGGCGAACTCGACCGCGCTCTTCACTACCTCGTCAGCACCCCAACGATCGGCCTAACCTACCACAAGAACACAACCACACCGACTAAGTTAATTGGCTACGTCGACGCCGATCACGCTGGCGACTCCGACAACAGGCGTTCGCGCACCGGCTACATCTACCGTCTCGAGCCTATCGGTCCTATCTCCTGGCAGTCGAGCAAGCACGAGTTAATCGCCCTCTCATCAGCTGAAGCAGAATATATCGCACTCTGCTCAGCCACCAAGGAATGACTCTACCTTCGCGAACTACTGGAGGAGGCGAAATTAGCCCAGTTACCCAGCTTCACCCTTTTCTGCGACAACCAGTCGGCAATTCGCATCGCCAACAAGAACGGCTTCGCGAACAGGACGAAACACATCGCCCTTCGATATTTCTTCATAAAGGACGAGATCGAGAAGGGGAGACTCCAGCTATCATACTGCCCCACATCCGAGATGGCAGCTAGCTGACTATTTGACCAAGAAGCTCGGAAAGCAGAAGTTCGAGTACTGTATGCTGCTGACTGGACAAAGCCACGTCACCAGCAGCGACACTCCAGAAGCGAAGGGGAGTGTTGCAAACAAATCGTAAGCGCCTCTATCGTGTCGAAACACCTCACCAGAAGCGAAGTGAATCATAACGAGGCACCCGTGAGTCAACCCTCAGAGGTTGAGAGGTTGCTGGAGGTTACGCGAAAGTCAAAGGTCAGCGACCTTTGACCTGACAAGTGCAGCGCGACAGCAAGGACACACAACTGACTCGTGTGAAAATTTAGAAGAAAGAAGAGGGTTGCACTAGCAAGAATGAGGATACAAATAGCAAACCCTAGAAGGGTTGTACTCGCTATAGAGTACCCCACTACAGGCTAGAGCATAATATTCTGACACACCCCCATAGCCAAAGTGGGGTGTAATCAGCATAGCAAGCAAAGCAGTACAAGCTCAGGGTGGATCACAATGACACCACACATTCTGAGCACAAGTTCAAGAAGCAATAGTTTAAAGTTCACAATTATGAGCAAAGCTAGAGGCTATCGCAGAGGGCTAGTGTAGAGGAGGAGGGACTATGAGAGGAGAGGAGGTAGTGGGCGGCAGCTGAAGCTGCTGGCACACGGCGCAACTAGAGCAACTGGCACACGGGCAACTGGAGCAACTGGCACACTGGCAACTGGAGCAACTGGCAAACGGGCTACTGGAGTAACTAGCTCCGCGGCTAAAAGTAGCGGCAGACGAGCAACGGACTCACGGGCGACTGGAGCAACGGGCTCACAGGCGACTGGCGCAACGGGCTCACGGGCGACTGGCGCAGCGGTCTCACGGGCGACTGGAGCTGCTGGCTTCTCGGCGGCCACCCCCTTCAACCTCCCCAAACTATCCCACCCCCGATTCACACACCCCCTACTGCACCCCTAGGGTCACTCACACCCCACCCCCTAGCACCACTCCGTCGACTCCCACACACCCACCCCCCTCAGCGGCAGCTGCAGCAGTGGGAGATAGAGGAGGAGGAGGAGCAGGGGAGACCACACACCCGCCACCCCCCACTCGCCACCCCCAAACCCGAACACAGGGCAGGGCGGGATGGCGGGTAGAGAGGTTACGGGGGGGGGGGCAGGGCCGACGCGCGGCCTCCCTGGGCGCCAAAGTAGGCGGCAGAAGGGGCGACGCTCGCCCCCCTCCCCCAGGTCGCGGCCCCCGAAGGAGCCGCGACGGGCGACGGGAAAAAGGGGGGGGGGGGGGGGGGGTGCACGTGCCCCCGGTGCGCCGCGGCTGGCGACGAGGCATGGCCGGGGCGGGGCCGGGGCCGCAAGTGGCGGCGACGGGGCCGCTGGCGGCGACGACGGGGCCGCTGGCGGCGGTTCGGGGCCGATAAGAGCGGCGACGGGGGGCGACGCGCAGGTCCCCGTCGCCCGTCGCAGCGCTTCCCGGGGGCGACGCGCCGAGTGACGGGGCAGAAACCCGTCGCGCGCCTCGGGGCGCACGGCGGGCAGAAAACCGCCGCGCGCCTCGGGGCGCACGGCGGGCAGAAAACCGCCGCGCGCCTCGGGGCGCACGGCGGGAAGAAAAACTGCCGCACGCCACGGGGCGTGCGGCACAGACAGTAGCAGTAGCAGTTGCAGCGGAAGCAACGAGGTGGTGAGCCCACCCACCGGATCGATCCAAGGGGATCGACCTGCTCTGATAGCATGTGTAAATTTAGAAGAAAGAAGAGGGTTGCACTAGCAAGAATGAGGATACAAATAGCAAACCCTAGAAGGGTTGTACTCGCTATAGAGCTTCCCACTACAGGCTAGAGCATAATATTCTGACAACTCGTTACAGAGCAGTTGCCCGAGTCGTCACTGTATCGAACCACAAAAGCAACAGTAAAGTATTTACAACTATATCTCTTCGTATTCCTTGTATTCTTATATAATCCTGTATCTCTTTGTTTTAATCAATCAACTTTGCCCTCACATACCAACGCAAGGTGGTTCAACCTCTTCATTAAAGCTTCCGATATTACACTGTTCCTACCCAGAGTTTACCCTTGCAGAAGATCCTAAGGGCTAACTTCTCAGCCCAACAGCCCACCCCATCCACTCATTCCTTCCGCCCAAATGATCCCTTCCCCAGCACTCGACCATCAACACATCCGCTCTCCAGGTTTGGAATATAATTGATTACCTCCCTTTCTTCATCCTCATAGCAGGGGCATGCAGTGATGACGAGAGTCCTGAGGCTGGTGAGACAGCTCACCGACTCGAACAAGCCGATCAGGTTAGGGTAGTTACTCAAAGTCAGCCGCTGTAGCTGTTCAAGTTTCCCAAGCTCGTATGGAGTCTCAATCAGGTCTGGAAAGCCCATCACGACGAGCGATGTCAGATTTGAGAGATGGCAAAACGACGACGTGAGGGCCTCCTGATCCTCGCGGCTGCCCATACAACTGGCAGGCCAACCAAACGCAAGAGACGTGAGGCTGCTCTAATGCTGGGTGAGGGATAAAGGGACATCGACAACACCATCGCAGTAGGTGAAGGAGAAGTGCGCAGACTGGAGAGCTTGGAGATGGTATCTAGAAGGTGAGAGAGACATTTCAGTTGGCTCAGTTCGAGATGCTCCAGCGACGACAGGCGATCCATCCTCTGTGGAAGGGCCCTAAGATCTGTGCAATTCCTTAGGACCAACATGCGGAGGTTAGAAAGGTTGCAGAGGGAATCAGATATCGTGTGGAAGCTATCGCAGTTTCTGATGGTTAGCGTCTTGAGAGAATTGAGGCCTGACACCGTTGTTGGAAGGGATGCAAAGCTACGACAATACACGATCTCAAGAACTTGTAAAGAAGGAAGATGGAAAAAGGATTCCCGGAGTTCTAGGTCCATATTCTCATGTAAGTAAACCTCTCGGAGGTTCGGAAGCTGGCCGATGGTGTCAGGAAGAGTCTTCATACCCTCCATTTCACGAACGGTGAGCTTGACCAATGACTTCAGCCCACAAAGGGAATCAGGTAGACGGTCGATCGATCCTTCATTTCTGAACACCTTCAGCTCGGCCAGCTTGGTGAGCTGGCCGAGTGATTCCGGGAGCTCGTCGCTCCACAGATTGGCGAGTGTCAGCTTTGTCAGGGACTTCAGCTCGTCGAATCTATCGGGAAATTGAACGAAATTTACCATCAGATAGACCTCCTTCAAAGATGAAAGGTCGAAGAAGGATGGTGGCATATCACAACTGCCTTCGTAGACCGTCATCACGGTAAGCGAGAGGTACTGCAAAGCAGTGCAGCCTCTGAAAAGGCTACCTGCACCTTCGTACGTCATACCTTCTCGCCAACCGTTGTCCAGGTCAAGATGAATTAACCTGGGACAGACCGAACCTAAGCCCCAGAGAAAGTCGTCATCGTCCGGGTCGAGAACGCACTTATTGATCGTGAGAGATGTTAAGTGTCTGAAGCGGGAAAGAGAGTCCAGGAGGCCAGAATCTGCAGTAAGGCGAGGCGGACTGTTGGCGATCGACGTTTGGGCAAGGTAAGTGAGGCGATTCCAACGTTTACAGACCAAAGCGTGATTGAAGTAGCTGGGTGACTGCTTGTTCAAACAACGGAAGATGAGGCAAATGAGGTCGCGCGGTAACTGATTTAACGACACTCGCATCTTAATTCTACGAGGACTCGACACCAAGGTTTGGGACGATGGATCCGTTCCAGCTTGAGACATTGTTCGCAAGCTGCAGTGAGCTACGGTAAAACTACGGAAATAGAGCAACTAGAGTAGATCGCACATTGCTCCTAGACATGATCAACTTATGGATTGGGACGTTGGTGAAGGCAGGATATGGAGGAAGGGAGCTTGCTTGCTTCATTGTGACCGTTGGAGTGGATGACCGTTTGGCTCTCAATGGTCACTGGTCCCTGGTACTGTAGCTCGGAAGAAGCTATTCGTGACTGTTTGTGCTCTTGTGACTGTTCGTGCTCGCGGTGCTCGTGTCAGTGGGATTCGCTGCTGTGGTTTCGCTAGCTTTTGTTACCCGAATTTAGCAGCTTCTCGTCTCGGGTTTTGCGAGTCGACGACGTTACCAAAGCTCGTGGCAAAAGTAAAGTCGGTGGAACAGCTGTTCGTCATGTCTAAATTTCGCTCCTCGCCAATGAACTGAAATGGATGTAACAGCCACACTTCCCGTCACATTCAGAGTAGCAGCTCCTCCTACGATCACCACTGCCTAATTTCTGAGTACCTCATGGCGCCAGACGCGCCTGCTCCGATTGATGTTATTATTAACGCGTCTCCGGGCATAGGTGGGTCAGTGCTGTGTCGTGAATCGCTATCACACCGATGCGGTCACCGATAAGGCACAGCAGGGCTGTTTCGATTCGGCGCAGCTGGACGCTATGATCGTGCAAGAATAAATAAATAAATTTTATATAAATATAAAAAAATCCAAGCCACGCTTGTCCTTCTCCGAATATAGTTTATCCTGCTTGGCTAGCTTATGAAGTCGCAAATATATTCTTTCTTCACATCTGGAGCACCAACTTCACCACCTCAGGATCTTCCGTAGTCTCAGCGAGCCTTCTCCTTTCCGTCAATCACTCTGCTGTCTCTCGCGCCTACATTTGGCTATCTGCTCGACGTACACTTCCCTCACACATCTCTTTTTCCCCTCCTCCTTCTCCACCGCTCCCCTCTGCCATCCAGACGACGCTTTGGCCATTCTCGCCGCTTTGAAGTGCCAATCTATTCGTGTGCTTGGTATCGCCACGTCATTCAGCCACTATGTGACGTGTGAAGCTGCCACACGCAACGCTCGAGGCCTGGTGGGTTCACTGTGCCTCATCCTTTATAAGGATCCCTCATCCTTTATAAGGATCCCTCATCCTTTATAAGGATCTCTCATCCTTTATAAGGATCCCTCATCCTTTGCGAAGATCTTCTCATTGTTTTTGGAACATTGGTGGTTGAGTCAGTATTATGTATATACTACAATTCTGTTCCTTCACGCATGTTGTGTTTACCTTAACCACCGATGTCATGTCCTCTAGGTTCGGCAAAAAAGCTTCTCAATGTTATTTGTTCTTCCACACAAATTCCTTTCCCCCATTTTCCTACAGCGATGCCCCTTATTTCCCTCTTGCCTTCCCTCTTTTCCTTCCTATTCTTCCTCTCCTCTTCCTGCTCCCCCACCTCCCCTCCCAATTTTTCCCACCCATCATTCCCCTCCTCTTCCCGCGCTTTTCCCGCAACCCCCATCCTGCTTCTCCCCATCTCCCTCACCCACTCTCCTCCAGTGCATAGCAGCAGGTCGCCCAGACACACCTGTGGTTCAGGGCGCCACAGCACCACTCTCAACCACACCAACTCCAGCACTATGCCCAGTATGTTGCCGCTTCATCCTTGCTCCTTCTTTTTCCCCTCCCCCCACTATCGAATTTCTCTGTTCTTGCACACAAACTTGTTCCTTTCCTTTCCTCCCCCCCACTCCATCTACCAAACCCGCCTTTCCTCCCGTCGCCGATGCTTTCGTTTGCTTCCTTCCAAGACACTCCTAGTGTGTTTTCTCGCTAGTGTCCTCCCACCCGCCCTATTGAATTTCCTGTTCTGCATTCCAAGCTTTCACTATCAGCCACCGCCGCTGCCACCACCACCACCCCCACCACCGCACCGCCGCTGCTGCTGCCGCCACCACCACCACAACCATCACCACCTGGCTGCCCACCGTGTCTCCCCTTTTCTTCCTCTCGCTTTCTCATCAACAGCCAAACGCCCCCGAGGCTAGTGGAACCAGCACCAGTGGCAGCAGCAGCAGGCCTAGCGCACCCTCCCTGCCTGCCTGCTCCTCGTTTCTGGGCCCTGACGGTTTGGCGGGAGTGCAACTGCCAGCAGCAACTCCCGCACTCCAACGGGATGACCCCGCGAATGGCATCACTGATACCTTAGCTTCCACTCATGCTTCCACTGCTGCTACTGGTGCGGATGGAGAGGGGAGGGTTGGGGGAGAGCAGGGGGCGGAGCGGAGGGCGTGGGAGTGGATGTGTGAGGAGGTGGCGAGGAAGCCCGGGCAGATCAGCATCATTCAGTTGGGGCCCATGACCAACCTCGCCCGGGTGAGTGTGCTTTGCATGCGTGCGTGCCGTTGCACCGAGGTCACGGTTGTGTCGAGTCGACTTGAAGGGAGGCTGGTAAGAGAAGAGAAGAGACCAGAAAGAGCAGATTATTTAGGTACGGCTGGAACACCTAACCAACCTTGCCCACGCAGGTGCTTGCAGCAGTCCGTGACTACTCCTGCCCACACATCCCATATCCTCCCTCCCCACGTCTCCCTCACCTCCCTCACCTCCCTCACCTCCCTCACCTCCCTCACCTCCCTTTCCTCCCTCACCTCCCTCACCTCCCTTTCCTCCCTCGTCTCTCTCATCGCCGCCCTCACCTCCGTCTCCTCCCTCCCCTCGCTACTCTGCTCGTCTCCCTTCCCGAATCCCACGCGTCCCTGACACAGTGCAGGCCCTATCCGAGTGTCTGCTCTAGCATCAGAGCTGGTGTGGGTGGTTCTTCGCCCACTTGCTCCACCCAGTGCCCACCCTCACCTCCCCCTCCCCGCTTTCCTCCACCATCCGCCCTTCCTCCTCCCTCGCTTCTTCCCGCCTTGCTCCCACCAGGCCCTCTCCCATCGCCCCTCGCTAGCATCAGAGCTGGCGGGCATCTGGGTGGTGGGGGGTTCATTCTTCGCCCACTTGCACCACCCACTGCTGGCCCCCACCTCCCCCCTTCCCCTCACCAGGCCCTCTCCCATCGCCCCTCACTAGCATCCGAGGTGGCGGGCATCTGGGTGGTGGGGGGTTCATTCTTCGCCAGTGGGGATGTTAACGCGGCTGCGGAAGAAAGCGTGAGTGCTGGGGGCGAAGGGTATTGGGGGGAGTGGGGGGTGGCAGGAGGGAGGTGCAGCGAAGGGGGAAAGAAAGGGAAGGGCGATGGGATAGCTCGATATTGTTGGGAGGGAGAGAGAGTGTGTGTAAGGTTGGGGGAGGAAGAGCGGACCGGTTGATCATTGAGGAAAAGCGTGAGGGGATGACAATCTTGACTTACGCTGGCTCTTGCTTTTGCTCTTGCTCGTGCCCTTGCACTTCCTCTTCCCCTTCCTCTATCTCCAGACTCCAACTATGCATAGTTTACGCCTCCAACAGTGCTCATACCTTCTCCCCTCAGAGCACTGCAGGTGCTTGCAGATTCCGAGGTTGTTCTAACCGTGTTTGGGGTTTAGGCCTCTCCCCTCGCCTCTCCCCGCTGCTACCCTTGCCGCTCCCCTCTTTGCAGATCCCGAGGCAGGGGACCAGATACTGACATGACAGAGGGGCCACCAACATCTGCTAGTGTTGAGACGGCGTGACTTCTGAGTCAAGACAAAAGGCAGATCTCGAGGCAGGGGACCAGATGCTGATATGACAGGGGGGCACCAACATCTGCTAGTGCTGACACTCCTCTCCTCCGCCCCTCTCTGCCCCTCTCTGTCCCCCTTTGCTCCCCTCTGCCCCCATCTGCCCCTCTACCCCCCCTCTCCACGGCAGGTGTTTGCAGACCCTGAGGCAGCAGATCAGGTGCTGACGAGTGGCACCAACATCCACGTGCTGGGACTGAACGTCACCACACAGGTCACACTCACAGGTCAGCTGTGCATGCTCTTAGACTTGTTACTTATCGGACCGGTGAGGGCCTAGGGCGGTGTGTTAAGGGCAGCAGCCCAGGTGCTGACGAGTGGCGGCAGCATCTATGTGCTGGGAGGGACTCGACGTCACCACACAGGTCACACTCACAGGTGCGTTGGTTGGTGTGCTGGAGCTGTGCATGTTCCTAGACGAGCTACTTTTCACACCAGTGAGGGCCGAGGGCGGTGTGTTAAGGGCCAGCATCCCAGGTGCTGACGAGTGGTGCCAGCATCCCAGGTGCTGACGAGTGGTGCCAGCATCACTCACAGGTGTGTTGCGAGTCGTTCCTTCCTTAACAACGTGCATGCTACCACGCGCGTTGCACTCACTCACTGGTGTCATTTCTGATACGCATGCTACTAGAAGAGTCTCTTTATAGCACCAGTAGGGGGCCAGACAGACCAGGCCAGTGCGGTACGGCCATCAGATCAGGTGCTGCTGACGTGTTGACTTTGAGTCGACTCAAAAGTCACACCAGTAGGGGACCAGGCCAGGCCAGTGTGGTACGGCCAACAGATCAGATCAGGGTCCTGCTGACTGACGTGTGGCGCCAAGCCAACATCAACGTGCTGAGGCTGAGGCTCAGGCTCATCTCATCGTTACGTTTGAGGCGCCTCAAAGCTGGGGCTCATCGTTTCCACTCGTACCGCACTTGAAGTTGCCTAGAAAGGCGCCTCAATAACGTGCCTCACGTACGGGCAACCATCAGCATTCGTAATGCCCCTTCCCTATCTCCATGCCTCCCTCACACCCCTTCTGCCTGCCCCTTATGACCTCCTCTTCTGCTCCTTCATTCGAAACACACCTCCCTTCCTTCTCACCCCTTCTGCTTGCCCCTTTTGCTCTCTTCTTCTGCTCCTTCATCCGAACCGCCCCTCCCTCCCCTCTCGCCCCTTCTGCGCGCCAGGCACACACCTTGCCTCCCTGTGCACGCAAGACACGGCAGCCCCTCCAGCAGCAGGCGAAAGCGAGCACGGCACTGCGTCCCCAGCAGCAGCTTCTCAGATCGCCTCTCTCATTGTCGCCTCTCCTTGTCTCGCCCTCTGCTCACCCCTTCTGCTCCGCCAGGCACAAACCTTGCCTCCCTGTGCACCCGAGACACGGCAGCCCCTCCAGCAGCAGGGGAGAGCGAGCACGGCACTGCGTCCTCAGCAGCAGTGGCGTCTGTGGAGGCAGATAAGAGCGGGAGCCAGCATGCAGCCTCGCCCTCACCAGCAGCGTCCCTGGTGGCACGTCTGGTGCAGGCATACAGGGCCCACCACCAGCAGTCCAACCACATAAATGGTGCGTGGGGTGTGGTGGATTGTGGTGGATTGTGGTGGATTGAGTGCGCTTCACACTTCTATAGCGTCACTTCGCCGCACCCCCTCGTTCTTACATCTCGCCGTTGCTTTGCCTTTTGTGTTCTCACTCACCTCCCTGTGTTCCGCCTTCCAGGAATTTTTCTGCATGACGCATGTGCAGTGGCAGCGATCACAGCGCCCTCACTTTTCTCCTTCAAGCGAGGCAGCGTGCGTGTGGAGAGCACCGGGGTGGGCCGGGGATGCACTCTCATGGACTACTCGCTGAAAAAGTAAGCGAAATATGCTCTTGGTATCGGCACAATCATAGCCCCCGCTCTCCTCCTTCAAGCGTGGCAGTGTGCTAGTGGGGAGCAGAGCACTGGTGTGAGCTGGGGATGCACGCTCATGGACTACTTTGTAACAAGTGAGTGACTTTATCTTTGAGGTGTATGTTCATTAGTGTGTGTATGTTCTGCTCAAGATGTAAGCAGCTCTATCTTTGAGGTTCAAGTTTGGCAGTGTGTGGGTCGAGAGCATTGGAGCAGGCAGGGGATGCACTCTCATGAACTACTCGCTCAAGAAGTGAGCGACTTAATCTTTCAGGTGCACGTTCGGCAGTGTGCGAGTCGAGAGCATTGGAGGCAGGGGGTGCACTCTTATGGACTACCCGTTCAAGAAAGTGAGTGGTTCGATCATTGAGGTGTACGTTCAGTTATGTGTGTGTGTGTGGAGAGAGCACTGGGCTCAGCAACGTATGCATGCGTTGCATGCGTTCTTCTGGAACGACACACTCATGCTGGTGGGATGTAGCAGCAGCGGTCATAGACACTGCTCAAGTGTCCAGGGATGCAGCACAGGGTGCATGCTGATGGGCCACTCACTCTCAACGAGTGCATGCTGGTGGACGTGTCGTTCCAGCAGAAAGCAGGGAGGGATGTAGCGTAGCAGCAGAGGTATTAGGGTCTGCTCAAGTGTCAAGGGATATGACAGAGGGTGCCACGCTGGCAGAGGTCAAGAAGCAAGTGAGCGTGGCTGTTACCGTCAATTTTGACAGGGTTGTTGCTGCAGTTAAAGACAGATGGCTTGCAGTGCATGATCATGGGCTAATGAGGGAGCTATGGCAGGATGGGTGGATTGATGAAGCAGTAATAGACAGGTCGATCGGGAGCGCACTGCACGCTTCCGGTTCTTCTCGGTGACGAATAGTGTTCGGGGCTCGTCTGAATGGGGTGTGGAAGTGGGTTTTTTGTTGTTCTGCCTCCCCCTTCCATCCGCGCACGTCGCACCCTCATTTTCAACATTTTCTGTTATCCCACCTGCCCCTACGTCCTCTCTCCGGCCTCCCATCAGTTGAAACGGCCCCAACCCATGGGTGGGGGGGTGCCGCCAGAGCAAGTGCATTCTTAAGGCACCTACTTCAATGCACGTCCCTCCTTCCCTCCCGCCTCCCCGCCAGTTGGAACGGCCCCAACCCATGGGTGGGGGTGCCGCCAGTGCAAGTGGCCATGGCTGTTGATGCTGCTGAGGTGGCAGCCACTATCACCCGACTGCTTTTGTCTGTCGGATGAAGCAAGTGGGCATGACTGCTGTTTATGCGCACGAATAAGCGAGCGTTTCAAAGCTGCGATGATAGCCAGAGTGTCGTCTGGAGGAAGAGGAGAGGAGGGAGGGAGGGGAAACAGAGAATTGAGGGAAATTGGAGAGACTGAGGAGCGAGGTTTACAAAAAATAATTCCAGAGCCTATTTGGAATTCAGTACATGTTGAGAAAAGGCCTATTGGATGGCCCTGCGATGAAGAGAAGCAGATAGAAGGAGAATGTTTGCTGAGATCACATAATTTTCTGCAGATCACTCTGTATTTTGTAGCTGATGAGACGCTTCGAGTAGAGGAGTATATTAGCCGCTAAGATGGGACAACTAACATAAGGGATTAGGTACCATAAATAGTACTAATACAACTAATCTTGATTTACTATTGATGTACCATAAATCATGGCAAGAAACCAGAATTGACTTGAAATAATAATTTAATCCGTTAGGTTTACCTAGGTCAAGTTTACGCGTGGTGATCTGAAGCTGTAGATGGACAAATCATGTTTCCGCGAAAAGTACTCGTAACGCGCTGAACGAAACGGTTACACGAGTGGAATGCACTACAAGAAACGCCACGAAAGCACGACCGCGAACCGAAGGCCGCGAAACCGAGGGCCCAGAAACCCGCCCCACTGGGAACCAACGCGTGAAAACAAAAGCGCAAAAACCAAATCACGATCCCCGCACCCCAGTGCGTGCTCCATAATCCATTCCATGGCGTCTCAAAGGCGCTTGTCCACGTGGGTCCGATACGGACCCACTAGACCAGCTCGCGAACCGCAGGGTGATCCAGTGGTGGACAGAACCAGTATGCGAGGAATAACCTCGTTATAGCGTTGAAACGGGGCCGCGGGTGGTCCGAACGACTCTGATTTTTATTCGCGTGTTTCACACGTCACGGAATGGTGAGTGAACACCAGGCAATAGAAAGAGGGTTCGTCGATACTGTGTAAATCTCAGAGGTTGTACAGTCCAAGACGCGACAAAATCTTGCAGACCAGCTCGTGTCCAGTCCACGCCACGGCTGCCAGCCCAAAATTCCACACGCAATCACTTTGAAAACGCGGGAGACCCCGGGGTCACCCTCACGGGGTGACCCACAAGCTCCCCCTGTGTTACCTACAGCTCACCTAAAGACACTGGCGACGTCAGCTCCAGTGGACCGCCTCGTGGGTCCGACGGACCAGCATGCCGGACCAAAGCATATAAACTGAGGTCGCGGACCAGGTCACATGAGACACGTCCTCAGCACGGATGTTACCAACCTGACACACATGAGGCAATGTTGTGTTCAAATGACATGACAAGCTCGCTCCTACAGTACTCATACATATCCTGCCTTCAGCGGAGGTATGTTGTACAACTCTCAGTCCGCCAGCTCTCTAGTTCCATATTCGCTTTGGCTTTCTACGCTTCGCAGCAACGTGTTGACAATGTCCAGCAACGAAGGAGATTAGTTACCTCACGATCTCATCTGCTTCATCTTCCATTGTCTGAACAAGCAGTCACCCAGCTACTTCAATCATGCGTTGGTCTGTAAACGATGGAATTGCCTCGCTTACCTTGCACAGACGTCCATCGCCATCAGCCAGCCTTCCCTTAAAGCAGATTCTGCTCTTGTGGACTCCCTTTCCCGGTTCAGACACCTGACTTCTCTCACGATTAACAAGTGCGTTATTGACAAGGACAATGAGGAGTTCCTTCGTGGCCTGGGATCTGTCTGTCCAAGGTTGATCTATCTTGACCTGAACAACGGAGATTATCCAGGGGTGACGTATGAAGGCTTAGATGCCCTCTTCACAGGCTGCACTGCGCTGCAGTACCTCTCGCTTACCATGATGACAGTCAGTTCTGATACGTTTGACCATCTACCTGACTCTCTTGGTGGGCTCAAGTCACTGGTCAAACTTAGCATTCGTGATTTGGGCAGCGGAATACTTTTACCTGACACCATCGGCCAGCTTCGGAACCTTCGAGAGGTTTACCTAAATGGCTATCCCCTCTCCGAACTCCCGAGTTCTTTTTTCGAGCTTTCATCTCTGCAAGTCCTTGAGCTCGTGAATTGTAAAGGTTTTGATCCCCTTCAAAACGCAGTGTCGAGCTTAGGTTCTCTCAAGGCGCTAACTATCAGAGATTGTGGAGACTTCAATTCGCTCTCTGACTCTCTCTGCGATCTTTCTAACCTCCGCACGTTGGTCCTCAAGGATTGCCCAGGGCTTTGGGACCTTCCAGACAGCATGGATCGCCTGTCTTCGCTGGAGCATCTTGAGCTGTGCCAACTCAGAAACCACAGTCACCTTCCTGAAAACCTTCCCAAGCTCTCCAGTCTCCGCAGCTTTTCCTTCAACTACTGTGAAAACGTTCGGACAGTGTCTCCATCCCTTCTTCAGCATTGGAGCCGCCTTACTACACTTGAGTTTGGATGGCCAGGCAATTTCTGGACACTCAGCGAGGATCAAAGTTCCTTCATGGCGTCTATTTGCCAGCTCTCAAATCTGAAAACGCTCCTCTTGTTTGGCGTTGACCTAGACTACCTTCCACAGGAGATGCAAAATCTTTCACAGCTGCAGCAACTGACTATCAGTTCGTGGCCAAACTTGATGTGTTTGCCCCAGTCCTTGAGCAGTCTCACCAGCCTTAGGACTCTTGTGATCACTGCATGCCCGTACTTTGGGGATGAGGAGCATGAGACAATCCTCAAGATCCCAAATCTGGAGTGTGGATGTGTTGATGGTAGAATACTGGGAAATGGGTCATTTGAGAAACGGGGAGTCCGTGGAAGGGGACGGTAGATGCTGTGCTTATCGCTGGATTGTGGTAGGGGTGTGTGTGTTTTACATTTGCAGTGATTCCTGTCGTCGTACTTTGGATGGTCAATGTTGACAAGTCTTACTGTACCGTATATGTCTTCACTGTTGCTGTCGTGATCGACATCATTGTAGTCACTCTTTATATTGCATGCGTACCGTAGGTAGTTTCCACCCTTCACCGTCCCGTCTACCGTATCTCATTCCATGCCGCACGGCAAGGATGTCATCTAAATGATGACTGATACGTTTTTCTACCAGACATACTTCTAACATGTTACAAAATGATGCTTTAAACTTCAACATATCCAACCGTTTGCAGAGTAAAATGTAGATACTCACACCCTACTAATAACTCTCTGTGTTATTGACGCCACGTTGGCCGCTTGATGAACCAGTTGATGCTCATCTTGTGGAGATTTGTGAGCACTCTGTTCGTTTGCGCATGTGCTTGGATTGGATGCGGTGTGTTCGGATTAGTGGGAGCAAGCACCTGAGGTTAGCACCGCCGTCACCGTCCCCGTTGCTGCTGGTGCTGCTGAGGCTGCTGGAACTGCTGCTGCTGCTGAGGGAACTTTCCTCGCTCCCCTGGGTGCTCTCAGCATCGTCCCCACTCTCATCCCCCACAATCTCCTGCTGCTAGGGCGCAAATACTCCCCCTCAACTACCCCCCAGTAATCTGCCGTCTTCTTATTATCCCGTCCCATCATCTCGCCATACGTCGCATGGTTATAGGTCCACTTGGATCGCCCCCCAAACGCCTCCTCAGGGCGGTCTGGTCAAAGAGGATCTTGATCAACATAGCCAGATCTATGAACGGCTGGATTCAATGGGTACAGAACGGTTAGGCGAGAAATCAATCCATTCATGGTGAACATGACCATCCACACTGG